ACAACTTTAAGGTCCCTTTTTCTGCTACCTCAAGTATTGGGCTGAACCTATGTTTTGTTTACTAAGGGAGCTTTCTTCCAGTACTTTCATATGCGTTTTAAAACTACAAAGTTTTAGAAATTATGTTAAGCTGTTTAAATGAATATAATTTAGAATCTGAACATCTCCTCAAAATTCTACATGTAGCTTCATCATATTTAACACCGTGAACTTGGTTTCTTAGCTGTCTCCATTGTCACAGAATCAGAAGTTAAAATGTTCATCCCAGTCATCTTATTAAATGAAATACCTGATTTAGCCATACCATGAGAGAGCGTCATTGTCTGCTACAAGCCATTACCTTCAATAAATAATGATAACACTAGAACAGATGGTCCTTTCAAGCTTAAGTGCACCCTGGAATATACTTCAAACAAATACTGCACTTCAGAATCATCTATTCTGGCAAAAGATAACAAATTAACACATTTGATTTCAAATATATTTGACTCTCCTTACAAACCAAAGGTTTAATGAGAAATTAATGTTTTTCAGTTAAAAAACAACCTAAAACATTCTTTGAGTATATTAATTGAGATTATGTCAATATTTAAACTACTCTAACACCATTTAATGTAAGTTTTGTAACACAAAGATGCAATTAAACGTAGAAAGATCTTTTTGTGAAGAATTTTAAATAGCTTCAGGTGCAATCCTAACTATTATGGCCAGGAAAATTGCTGCAGTCTCAAATTAAGGAATGCAGAATTTAATAATAACAACGTTAAGAATGTTTCAACAGTCATTAGAAGATATTACTCAAAAGTTTACTGTCACTACAGTACAGAAATGTAGCCAACTAACGGAACAACAGTATTTCTTCAGAATATTTAGCTTTCATTCACCATGCATGGTTTAGGATTCACAGATGATTTGTGCACTGAAATTACTGTAACTAATTATTTTCATAGGTGTTACAAGACAGCTAAGATTGGTCCGACAGGGCTCAATTCTGATATTAGATACACAAGTGTCAGATCTAAGTATATTAGCTGCTGGGCACCAGGAATCCTTGAACTTCTCTATATTTTTCCCCACTTCCAGTTTCATCTTGGGCAAGTGTTTATTAGCTCTCACAATGGCTGGGTTCATATGTCCAGCATTTTTACTAGAGTCTAAACAGAGTTATAACAGCCACTTTTTCATGACTGTGGTAAAGGATGTTTTACCGAAGAGACAAGGCAAAAATCTTCCGACAGCAAGCTATTGTTCATAGAATCATAGAATACTAGTACTGGAAGGGACCTTGAAAGGTCATCGAGTCCAGTCCCCTTCCCTCAGGGCAGGACCAAGCCCTGATAGATGTCTATCTAACCTGCTCTTAAATATCTCCAGAAATGGAAATTCTACAACCTCCCTAGGCAATTTATTCCAATGTTTAACCACTCTGACAGTTAGGAAATGTTTCCTAATGTCCAACCTAAACCTCCCTTGCTGCAATTTAAGCCTACTGTTTCTTGTCATAACATTTTTTAAATGTTAAAAAAAGGAAAGGGGCACTTTAGTCTCATTAGTTCAATAGTGGATTTTTCATTTGAGGGGAACATAAGACACATGATGTGACGATCAACATATTTACCATTTCAGGAACACAGACACCAACGGTTACCTACAGAAAATATTGTATTTTTTCATATTTTAAGTGAGAGACACATTCTATACAGATATTGCACAGCACAATTGTGTCGTTTTCATTTATTATTCATAGACAAATACTAAACGCCTGCACTACTTCAGGAATGCACAGTCTACTTCTGTGTCTGAAATGGATATAGATTGCAAGATCCTTGGAGGAAGGCTGGAGTCATTTTCTATGTTATCACAGCAACATCCACACTACCACCACTTTCTTTGTGCACCAATGAAGGCAATGGGAGTTTTGAGTCCCACCAGTTTCAATGGAAACAAGATTGAGCAATAAAAGCACACCGTGAATAATATTCAGTGACTTTTTGTAAATCGTGTAAGATTTATGCTGAAACCAATATTTTATCTGCCTATGCTTTGGATTTTAATGTCACTATTTTATTGTATTTTATTTTCAATGGCAAGTTAAGCTGTTGTTTATGAAAGTCAGGCACCAACAGAATTGCCAAGAACTAGGCTTGTTGCACCCTGATGGTTTTCTAGTCTTGAAGCCCAACACATCCCACCTATTCCAGACCTACACCATCCTGCAGCATGCTGCACTGTGCCTAGTGGTCCCTGGTTCTGTCTTTACATCTTTTAATCATTAATAATACTATTAGTTTTACTTATTCTGTGTGTGTCTTGTTTTTTACATGCTAGTGACTGAGTGCTGGTGGGATAGGGGATATTTGTGCTTGGACTGGAAGAAGTGAAGATGCAGAAAAACCTGAAGCTCAAGATCAATAAAGATGTTAGAACTGTCATTGGACACCAGGAATATATACTCTCTGCATCAATGAACAAGAAAATAGAATGTGTGGCTAGTCATAGATATGTCATTGCTTCCTTTTTAGGCTAACATACAATCTAACACAGGGCTACTCAATTTTGGAAGCCCCGGGGGCCACAATGATACTCACAGCACATGCCATGTGCCACAGTCGCCTCTATGCATGGCTTAAGTAGTTATGGCTTTGGGCTGGTGAGCCGCATACTGGTGAATTTCAACATAGTAGCCAACAGCTCAGCAGTGAAATCATGAGACTTTAAAAATATGCTTAACACGATTCTCTAATTTCAAAAATAAAAAATTATCATTAAGCTACAAGTAGTGAGAGCAGAGCAGAACCATAAAAGATTTCCACTCATTTCACTGCCTAATATTAACCCAACCAGTTCTCCCAACATGAGTGCACAACTATGTTGCAAAAAGAGATTTAAAATTTACTGCAGAAATGCAGTGCAAATCCCTTACTCATGTCTATTAAGTAACACAGAGATAGAAAGTGGATCACTAGGAGAATCAAAACTAAGGGCAAAATTTGCTCTCAAATACCAACATACCATCTCTTTGGGTTGTGAAGATTGTGTGGCATTTTTATAAGACAGACTCACTCATATGTCCACTTTTAAAACCTTTATTCCACTTTCAGGGTAGCCAATATACTTCACCAGGTCCTGGGCAAGGTGGGGGTTGTCCAGGTTGTCTCTGGTCCCCCAAAAGGGGTGAGGTCTCAGGCAGAAGAGGGAAGAACTAGGGGCTAGCCTCCCCCAACCAGCTCTTCAGTTCTGCCCAGGGCACTGATGGCAATTTAAAGAGCTTGGGACTCTGGCAGCTGCCATTGCCACTGTAGCGGTGGCGGAGGAGGTCCTGGGTTCTTTTATATCACTGGGGTGTGTCACGTTGCTGAATTGGAGGAAAGCAGCCAGATCGCTGCTGCACCCCTAGGTGGGGGTGTTGGCCCCAGAAATTGGTGTGGGGGGAGCCATGTGGGGTATTGAATGGGAGCTTGTTGTTTTCTGATCCTGTGTACACTGTTTATGTGAGTATATAATGTCTGTGTGTGTAGATCTGTAATCTGTGTAGAAACTGAAGATTTCCCTGCATGTGGTTAAGCATTGGGCAGGGCCGAGCCTGTGGAGCCTGTGGACATGCTAATTACCTGTGGAACAATGGTTCTCAATGGGCCAAAGACACACCCAAAGAATGGGGGCTGTCCTGAGAGCAGCCAGCAGGGAAGACAGAGAGGCTGAGGACCAGGTGACCTGCTACATACTGGAAGAGACCAGGAAGGAGTATAAAGAGGCCATGTGGTCGATGCCTTTTTGGTTCTCAGCTCAGCACTTCATCCCAGAGGCAGCACTGCAGGGATTGAAGAGCCCGGAAGACCTGTGAACCCATCCTGATCGTAGGATGTGCAATAAGAACTTTTAAACCAGCAGCTGCAACATCTCTGCTAGAGCCTGCATCGAGTACTGGGAGATTCGGTGCATGTAACGTACTGTACTTTAATAACCTTACTCTCATGCTTTTCTTTCCTGTAATAATAAACCTTTAGATATAGATTCTAAAGGATTGGCCCGGCGTGATTTGTGGATAAGGGCCAGAGGGTAAATTGACCAGGGATCTGTGGCTGGTTTCTTGGAACCGGACAGAACTTGTTCGGGGTAGGTGGGATTGGTTGCTAGGACCCCCCACCTGTGTATAGGCCCGGGGCCATCTGGGGCACGGATATTGCTGGGGTGTCGGAGGGGTTTTGCTCGGGAGGCTTCAGGTAGGCTGCTGAAGCGCTCTGTGAGACTGGTTTGTGGCCTGTGTGGAGAGGTCGCCAGTCGGGGGCTGTAAGGAACCCCAGATTTGAGCAATTCGCCCTGAGCAGACGCACTCAGCTGTGCCCAGACAAGGCCCGGTCCGTCACAGGGTGTGGGGCAGCTGCCCTCTCCCAGACCGCATTGGTGGCTCTGTACATTACAGAACTCTGCTAAACTGTAATTTTACTGACAAGAATTTTGCAATGAAAACAAAGTTTTAAATCCAATTAACAGTTTGGGAGTGGTGATGGATAGACGATCTAGAAAGCAGTGAAAAGATCTCTTTTCCAGCTTTAATGTGACACATATTGCCCAAATTAACTCCATACACTGGAATGAATACATGCCTACCAGACTGTACAGAAAGCAAAATCCTTCACTTGGTTTCAGTACAGGCAGTCCCCGGGTTACATGGATCCGACTTACATCGGATCCCTACTTACAAACGGGGTGAGGCAACCCTGCACTAGCTGCTTCCCCCCAGCAGACCAGGGAGATGCGGAGCGGCTTCTCAGCAGACACCTTAGCTTGAGAATAAAGGACTGAGGGAAGTGAGGTGTGGGAGAATAAAACTGAGCTCTGGAGAAATGTTTGGCTAGAGTTTCCCCTACAATATGTACCAGTTCCGACTTACATACAAATTCAACTTAAGAACAAACCTGCAGTCCCTATCTTGTACGTAACCTGGGGACTGCCTGTAGTGTGTTACATCAACACATCACACAATATCTAATCCTTACCTGAGCCATCGGGAATTGACCGTACAAATGTAGGAAGCATTTTTACTGTGGCTGTTGGATTGAAGTCTCTAGAAAGACCATTTTGCATCTCTCTCTTGAAGCGAGCCATAATATCCAGCAGTGTTTCATCAGAGAGTCGCATGGAATACAGATATTTATCAATCTGGAAAAAAAATAACATGAAAATCCTGCATTTGTTTCTGTGAATGCACAATACAGACTTTTTGTTTCTTTAACAGGACTTTTCCAGCACATTAAATGTCTATATACTGAACATGTGATTTTTCTAGTTTGATTCTGGAACATTCCAATCAAATGAAAGATGCAACCAGTTTTCTATTCTTTCACTCAAAAAGAAAAAAAGAACGCAGTAACTGTCATGCCAAATCAGAGCAGACACACATCTAGCCCTGCCTCCCCTCTCAGGTTTAAAACTAGGTGAAACTCCCTCCAAAAAGATAATGCATGTGGTTGTAGTTATACATTTGAGGAGAAGAGAGAAATTCCTTCCTTTCCTTCTTCTCTGAAGGTAATCAGCTTATGTCCTGAAGCATGGGACTTGTTTATCATCATCCTTAGCCTGATACAAAGGGGGAGCAGGGACAGATGGCTCCAGCAGGTTAGCCAGAAGAATGCACAGAGAGCTTAAAAGCTGGCTTCCCATGTGCATCAGATCCTGCGGAGCCACCTCCCTCATAACCGCTGAAAATGTCAGTGGGTCCACATTTACAAAAAATGCTCCACATTTTAACAGCCCTGCTGGGAGCCTGTTTATACTAGCAAATTACTGCACTGAAACTAGCTGGGAGGGAGGAGATTTTTCACACCCTTGAGAATGTTTCAGCCCAGAAACTTGCCAGTGTTGTGTCTTTTATGCCAATTGGCAACATACAGCTGATTTAGTCAAACAGTGCCTTGTAAAGTTATCATATTAAATACATGCTGCTGGTAATGAATTTCATTGCCTGATGCATACATTTTTACACGTATACATAATTTTACATGTATAAATCATTAAGAATTATGTATGTGTAATGGAACTACGTTCTTAAATATATTCAGAGGTACTGGATAAAGGAACCTGCCATAGACAAGGGAATGCACGTTTATCTGTCTGTTTGGCTTGACTACAGAGAGAGAGGACAATTGAAGTAAAATTACACATAAGGTAAACAAGGCAATCAAACTAACAAACAGCAGAGGAAACAGTTTGATGAACACACCTGAGGAGGAAGGAGGGAAAACCACCCTAGATTCTGAATTTCCAGGAGGTCTTCCTGACTCTTGAGATAAAGACAATGGACTTTGAGAAATGAAAGGGAAGCAAAAAGACATTCTTGTTACTCATCAGAGAGGGCACACCCTCTGATCATGTCAACAGTGGATCCTCTTGCCTGGAAGGGTTAGAGATGCTGGTAGCTTGATGTAACTGAAATTATTTTTAGACAAAGACACAGCTTGCTAAAATTAAGTTGTCTGTAAGGATGTGAACGATTAATCGGTTAACCAGTTAATTCTTACCAGTTCTGGTTAACCATAGGGCTGGATCAGCTCTCTGCCCACCCCAGGCAGGGGACGGCTCCAGCCCCGCGGGACCCAGTGCAGGCAGTGATGCTCCAGTCTGTCTGTGGTGGGCCCTACTTTGCCCTGTGCCACAGTTCTTGCTGGTTCCACTCCCAGGGAAGCGACTCTGGGAGTGGGGCCAGCAGAGACTGGCGGGACCACTCCAGGGAAGGCTTTGCTGCAGGCTCTGCAATATAAAGCTTATTTAATCTTTATACTGCAAAGCCCACAGTGCATGTAACTGCTGAGATTTTCAGCAATTACATGGTTACCTATTTAACCATGGTTACCTTTTCACATCCCTAGTTTTAGGTACCAGAAAGTGTGTCATTTGTATTTTGTTTGTAATCCATTCCTGTCTTTTCTTCCTTGGTATCATTTAAATCTGTGTTCTTTATTAATAATCTAATTCTTGTTTTATTACAAAGCCATCCCAGTGCTAGGACTTCAGCCAAACTAACAGACGGTTATGTGTTCTGGCTTTTGGAGGCAGCAAACTTAATTTCTACAAGTGCTCAGTGAGAGGGAGCGGACACTGAAGAGAAGACATACTGGGAGAATTCAGGAATTGGGGGTTCTCACTTGTGTAAAGCACAGTTAGAACAAGCAAAAGAGAAGCTAGATAATTTCATGGAGGTTAGGTCCATAAAAGGCTATTAGCCAGGGGATAGAATTGGCATCTCTGGCCTCTGTCTGTCAGAGGCTGGAGAGAAATGGCAGGAGACAAATCGCTTGATCATTGTCTTCGGTCCACCCTCTCTGGGGCATCTGGTGCTGGCCATTGTCGGCAGACAGGATAGCGGGCTAGATGGACCTTTGGTCTGACCCAGCACGGCCGTTCTTATGTTCAGTCTCCAGGTATTTGTTGGGGATGCAGACTGACTGGTCTCTCTCCACCAAACTCTCTCTACCAAACTCTCTCTTACTAAGGCTATGTCTAGACTACATCGCTCTGTCGGCATAGGGATGTAAATGAGGGATGTAAATGCTGTTTTCAAAAGAACTGCGTTAAGACCGCAGTTTTACTCCCAAAATGGCGCTTGTTCGAAAGAGCTCCATGACATGATTATGCAAATGAAGCACGGGATATTTAAATCCCCGCTTGATTTGCACTTTCGAAGTGCCTCATTTACATCCCTCTGCTGACAGAGCGATGTAGTCTAGACGTAGCCTAAGGCAGTAGGGTAACAATGTGGCTTGCAGATCTGGGTTCCCAAAGGAGAGTGTCACAAAGACCTTTAAATATGTTGTGTAGTAGCAGCAGTTTCAGAAAACCTTGGAATCTGAATTCTTCATAATTTTGTGAAGTGTTGTTCAGAATGAATCAAGGATTCACCACAGTATCAGCCTACTGCTATTTCCCCAAAAGTCACAGGATGGTAGATCTATACACATTTTGCAGAAAGTTGATCTGAGTTAGCAGGGTTGTCTACTGAAGGCTCTAAAGAAAATTAGAAGACTCAAACAGGCCATTACTCATTTGTTTACTGTTTACAAAAGCAACATGGAGAAAGTCTTGCAAAATCACTAATTGCATCCAAACTATAACCATAGAACCTGTCTAGTCCAGTTTTGAATCCAGAATGGAACCAAAACCATTGAAATACTATCTGATACAAAGAAAAAAGCCCAATAGCTAAGAGGTACAGAGGTTTGAATTCAAGATTTGAATCATTTCTATCTTCGGGTATGCTCTTCACTGAACGTAAATATCTGTGTTAAATTATTCTGCACAAAAATGTTAATGAATAAACTGTCTGCTGTGCTGCTTCTTTTTAAAAATCTTTTCCCTCTTCCACAAAAGCAACTGCCGCAAGGACATGACATATATCCCTTAGGCTTCAAGTTAATTATTTTACAATTCAGCAATTAAAATATTTATCAAACTGAGCAAGAAAATAATCAAAATAACTTTCAATAGCTTATTTGATTAAAAAAAATATCCAGTGAGAAGAGAGTCCTCATTTCTCTGGTTCTCTCCCAAGAGCTAATGAAGTAGTGCAGTAAACTGCAGTAACATGGAAGGCAGTAATAACTTTGACAGAGACAGAGCTCAATTCTTGCATGCTCAAACAAAAAGGAATACTAGGAAATGCAGCATTTCAACATCACAAACTGAATTCCACCCTCAGTCTATGACAGCTGGAAGGACTGTGTCCACCGTCCAGCATGCACAATGATATGGGCTTCTTCTCCCATCTAATATACCGAAACTATTTTCTCAGAAACATTCCGCAGGGCAAGGGATATCAAGAGACAACAGCAACCAAGACAGCTTTTGTGGAGTTATTCAAAAACAACATGTGTGTAGCATTGAAAAGAAATACAAGCAGACTTACATGGGAACTGACACACAAAGTCTGGCTAAGCTGCATCTACCCTGCAAGACTTAGGGTTACAAAACTTCCTGGCCACATCTGAACACAGCTACAACCTCAAGAGCTGGCATGCCCAACAGAAAAAGCTGTAATTATTAATGAATCCACCTGGACTAATGTGAAGAGGCAAGGAAAACTCATTCCCAACTCTTTGGATTGATGATGATCTGAAAGCTTAGGATAAAAATCTCCCTTTTTAACATCTATTCTCATCTCAGTGGATGAGGGGGAAGGGGAAGGAGAGAATTACTTCCGGTGAGGAAGGCACACACCTACTACAGTGAAACCATTGTTATCCAGCACTCTGTTAACCAGAAAACTTTTTTAACCAGCATCGCCCCCAGCCACAATACTGTCACATCTTCAAGTGCACAGGCCTGGCTTGGTTTACCATGATTGGCTTAATTTTTTATTTAAGTAGTACTAATCATCTTTAACTCAAAATAGAAATTTGAGACCAACTCATACTATAAAAACTACCAATATTAAAAACTTGAGTTTTACTATTATTGTCCATTGCTTTTTTCTAGGTTGATGGGACTCAGATAACCGGAATTTAGATAACCTGAATGACCTAATCCCCAAGCGTATTGGATAATGCAGGTTTTACTGTACATGGAGGCAATATGAGTTAAATTAATTTCACAAATCTGCACCTTATCACACATCTCTGACTGAGTCATCTGCCCTTGTCATTAATCCACATCTCCAGAATTTATTCTTGCATTCTAAACCCTGAGTAACTTCATACGGACCCACTCCCACACCCTCTCCATAATTACCCTGGCCAAAGGCCCAGGGTAACTTAGATCTGAGTCAATGCCAGCTTTTAAACATAAATATGTCAGTTTTACATTTCATTATTTCTAACCATGTAGGTAGGTTGTGAAATAAGAAATTATATGGGAAGAGGCAAAAGTTCCAGCTTCCTCTGAAGCCCTACACTGTTTTGTTCACTGTATTACACAAATCCTCTTCATCTTCAAAGAGGATAAGAGCAGCAATCGAACAATTAAAAAAAAAATTAACTTTCAGAGATCTGGTTAAAAACATTTGTGTCCCATTCCTGTTTACCATCAGCTTTGTGTCTATTCTGGCCTGCAAACACTGGCCTAGAAATTCATCAGCCTAAGGCAACACTTTCAACATTACATGGCCTCTTTTACTCACTATACTAAGCTAAGCACTGCTAACCCCGTGGTCCAGAGCATTAAAATGCAGC